CAGGGATGATGTTTTTCTGTAGGCCAACATGGAAGTTAGCTTTGCCGTGGTTCCATTGTCAAAAAGCCTATGTGATATTTCAGCAAATACACATTCATGATACTTACACATTCTATTCAGCAAGATAATCTTCACAATTAAACACAATTTCCATAATCATTGAAGTCTGAATGCAATTGCCAGAAGTGAAAAAGCTAATGTAAACGAACTACACTATGGTCGCATGACGTAACGTCACCAACAAAGCAAGACTGTAAAGCCATGTTTGGCGTGTTGATGTTGTGTAGTCTCATTTGGCCACTCGTTAGCAGCCGCCATTTTTAAGACACATAGAAGCTTCAAATTCACAGTGAGGTATTTACTGATATATTTTATGTCACAGAACAAAACATGAAAATTCCTAAAGCTTGTGTTAACCACAGACCTTATTTGAGGCTCATTAAACCACAAACCTATTCAAAAACCCACTGACTTTAAGATTAGGGAACTAGAGGCTCGTTTTACAGGTAATATGTTGCTTACAACAAGGTCTGTGGATTATCTTGAGTAACAAGCCAAGTGCCATCTAGTTCCACCACATTCAAGAGAACGCAAACATCTCTACTGCCAATATCTTCAACACTCAGCAACTCACACCAAAACAATCTTGACTGATAAATAGCACTACAGGTAAGAGATAAAATATGTACTTTTGATTTAAAGGTGAACTGTGCCTTTAAATTGTGTTATGTATCCAACTACTCCCTTAATTAATATATATTCAGTGGTGTAGTGGAGGGTATACACATGCCATTGGGATACAAAGGAGGGTACACCCACCTCTTCAACTACACCACTGACAGTTTTCAGAATACAGCACGTACATTTTCAAACCACAGAGTCCAAAAAGAATAAAAACTAATTCAAATAATTTCCACAGTCAGATTTTTAGACATTTATGTCTATAACAAAAATGATAAATCACCTACAAAATACAATCAATTTATATTATAAAGCACTAAGAGAGCACGTACTTCTGCCAAGGCTGCACTCTGCTTTAAATTAGTTATTTTAAGAATAGAAAAGTTTGAGGAAAAATTGAATCTGCATCAGGATCTGCAATTAAAAAACACATATCAATAAAAATTAAGGTGATTAAATGTTGGTGGCCATGGAAATATTACACACACACACACGATTATGACCTCTGAATTATGAGCATTTAAATTCATTATATAGCATCATCAGTGAGTGAAGTGCCATCAGATTTAGAGGTAGACCTGTTCATGAGTAAACAATGTGTTCATAAGTGTTTTGGAAATGTGTGTAAAATCCACACTTGAAGAATCTGGCTATCATTTTGAATATTTTACACTGACCAAGAGAAACGACACTTTAAAATACTAATAATAAAAATAACTCACAAACTGATTTGAGGTTAATGTACAATACTGTAATTCATCACCTATTCTTTAACCTCTGACCTTTTATCATAGTTCATCAGTTTTAATGACTCTTAAGATACAAACTCAGATTAATTGAGGTAAGTATTTTTGTTACCACCAGAGGACAGAAGAGAGCTGAGATTTGATTTGTACCTGATTAAATGAAAAGGCTGAAAAAGCGCAACAGAGGATTGAAAGCACAATATTTCAAGAGTGAATTTTCTCATTATCTTTTTATTTTTCTTCCATATCACAAAAGGGGCTTTAATTGGAGATATGAAGCAAAGAAAAAAAACACGAGGACCTTTAGCTGCCAATGAGGAATTTTGTTATTCAGCTGTTCAAGCTGTGTAGGGGAGAGCTGAGGGAGGTCTCGGTGACATGGAAGATCAGGGGCAGCTAGTTACAAATAAGGACTGAAAAAGATGCAGTTGAAGGATCGGCTGAGCAGATCACAAAGCACACTGGCCCTGACATCTGGGTGAGGAGCACAGAGCCCACATAGAGAACAGTGAGAGCCAGGTGGATGAGCTGAAAGCTGAGCTAATCATCACTAAAATATAAACCGCTGCAGAGAAAGACATCTGCTGCAGACTGATTACTTCTTTGTGGATCATTATCAATGATGGTCTTGAGAAACTTTGCTGAAGTGTGCACTTTTGTACTCATTTTAAACTCTGGGTGAATCCTTTAAAAAAATAAAGTGGTATGGATCAAGTGGGTAAATTCGGTTAATAAACAATAGCTTTCATTGGGTTTGGTAACAAACTGCTTTACAGGCCCATATTGTTTTTAATCATTCACAAGGCACACAGAAATCAACTTTCTTGTCTTGTCCAGCCCTGATCACAGTGCTGATACCTCTGCAGGCTAGACCTGACTGCCAGAGTATCACACAATATCTTAAATAACATATATGAAATCATACAAAACACATTTGTACAGACAGACTGGAAACGTATCACATGATAAGGTACAATATAACCAGTTTATATCATAATCACTAATCAATAATGAAAGATAGATTTAGAAAGGGTGCATCACAATGAAAGTGATAACAGCAGTGATAACCAAGGATGGAGTCCATGAGAATAATCCTTGTCAGTGTCTGGTGTCCAGCACTGACAGAGTACTGACGGCCAGAGGGAGGAAACATCTGTGCGTTCAGTGGTGCACCTTGTTGCTATCAGTCTGCTAATGACAGTGTTCATCCAGAGAGGCATGACGGTGCGTGTCAGTCCCACGATGGCGGAGAAAGTTTTCACATCCTTTACTTAGGTAGCAACACCACACCCCAGAAATTACAAGTAGAGGGAAATGTAAATATTACTTAAGTTAAAAAGCATGTATCATCAGCAAAATGTGATGAAAGTGTCAAAGACAAAAGTACTCAATGCTGAATATTGGCCTCTCTGAGTATTAAACTTTCATGTATTATGTAAATTATGATCACTGATGCATTAATGTGTAGTCGATGTGGAGCTCATAAGTAACTACAGCTGCCAAATAATTGTTATAGTAGTAGTAACAAAGTATTGAGTGACATGAAATGGAAATCCTCAAGTACAAACACCATAAACACCATAATTGAAGGTGAAAGTAGTTATGTCACCTGTGACGGACAGTAACTAAGTACATTTACTCAAGTACTTTACTTAAGCGCAGCTTTGAGGTACTTAGACCTCACTTGAGTAATTCAGTTTTCTGCCACCTCATACGTCTCCTCCTCTACATTTATTTGATAACTTTAATTTCTTTACAGACTGAGATTAGTATTATAAAATATATATTATGACAAATACACTATGATTTATTATTCTTCCAAACCATAAACAGCATCAAAACATACTCAAAACAAAATCAAATCAGTGAGGCTATGATTTACAATAAATAAAAAATAGATGTTCAAGACAACATATTGTTTGGTATTCACACAGTAGCCCCTTATGGACACAGAGCCAGCACAATAAATAAATAATACAAATCCTTCCCTCGTGGTCAAAATACCAGAAGTTCGACAGACTTTTTGTATTCATGAATCTGTTGATATTTGTATAGAAGAAAAATACTTGTTTGATGAATCGCTAAACCAAATTAATGAAGGTTTCTGATTTTTCCATTCACATGAGTGAATGTGATATTTAGCCATTATTATGATGATGTTAACCATATCAGATATTTCCTTGGAGAAGTTATCTTTGTAGATTAGAAATTTTCTATTTGAATACATAGCCAGTCATTTATATTGTGCCAAAATTGTAATGTGACTGAACAGAAAGAAGAAAAAAAAAATCAATAGTTTCAGGTTCTTCAAAACAAAAACAACAATGGTTTCTGCTGCTAGATAACATCTGTTAATGATTCTAAAATGTATTTCTTTGGTCTTTGGCGAAACTGGCCATTTTAAATATTTTGTCTGTGATTGCTAAATTATTAGGGACTGTTCATTATTTATAAGGGGGAGGGTTGGTGCAAAAAGGAAGAGGCATGGCAAATCATTTTAGGTACTGGGGAGGGACTTATATTTTTAGTTTTTATATAGTTTTTAGTTTGGCTTAGGAGAGGGGCATACAAATGTAAATGGTTGTCAGATTTTTTAAAGGAAACGTGGGTGGGTTTGGAAGGTATTGTATGGCAGAACTGCCAAAGTTATATAACTTATCATAGCCAGAAACTGTAAAAACTGAAATTATCATTAGATTATTTAGATTTCCAACAGTGCTTGGACACGTGACAAATGCTTCCCTAAGAAAACAAAACAAAACAAAAACATGACCAAATCTGATGTTGTTGCCCATTTTTCATCAAAATTACTTCATTGTACATCTCCTTTAAAATTTGGCCAAAAATAAACTGTGTGCACTGACTAAAAATCTGGACAGCCGAGTCAGTGATCTCTTTAAAGTCCCTTCTTAAAACATACTTTTATTGGAGAGCCTTTCCTGATTTTACTTGAGTTTTAGGTTAATTTAAAGTGTTTTCTATTTCCTCAGTTTTTATACCCCAAAGTGTTTTTTATCAGTTCTTTTAGAAGCTGTTGTTTTCACGTCTTGTCTGTTTTAGTCATTGACACACTTATTTTGTAACTGTTTTGAAAAGCCCTTTATAAATAAATATTATTATAATATTATCATTAACAAGCATGCACAACAAGAGTGAGAACCAAGTCTTTTCTTTTGTAAGATTTAAAAATCTAATAAATGATTTATAGTGGAGGGAGGGTCATGCATTTTATTCCAGTCACTCAGGGAGGCTCAAGGATAAAAAAAAAAAAGAAAAAGAAAAAGAAAAAGAAAAAGCCACAGCCAACCACCCTCCTCCTCCTCCTCTGATAAGTAACGGACAGTCCCTTACTGCTTATTCTGATTATTGTGTGTCTTGTGTAACCAGAAAAGCATTAACATTTGATACATTTCCGGACAGTGTCGTAGTTAAATCTGGCAGCATGCAGGTATGGAGGGCATCACCTGGTGTAAACACACAGAGGTTTTATGTCTCTGCCCTCAGCCAGTGCTGAGTATCCCTCCGCCCTGTGCAGCCTGAACGCATCCCCACAGCCTGGAAGTAGACCCGCCTCTGACGCTAACGTCTGGCCGGGGAGGAGCCAGGTAGCTGCACACTGACACGTAAGAATCCTGCGTAAAATTTAAGGAAGAAGTTACATCTTTTCCTTAAGTTGAATGTCGATACGGCTGCTTCGAGTCCGACTCGATGTCTAGTTGACCTGTCCCGGACCAGAGGCCTGTTCGGACGCTGTTGAAGCGACGCGGGGCTGTCAGTCAGAGGAGCCCGACGCACAAGATGAGATTTTCAGCGTTTATTTCTGTCCTGCGGTCGGTCGGCCCGGTGGTAATCGGTATTTCTTTAGGGTTCACGTTGAGCTTGTTGAGTGTGAACTGGACGGAGGAAGCGTGTTACCTAGACGGTAAGGAGGGTGAGGAGGTGACTGTGGGTCAGGATGAGCAGCTCAAAGGAGCCCGGAAGCCCAACTCTATCTCCACCATCAACGATGTGGAGTCCGAGGAGGATTTTGAACCAAGAATAGTCCCATATAAACAAGTCCAGCAGAGTGCCCCAAAGAAAGTTTTCAGGTAAGCTTCGCATGGCCATCTACTTTGACTGGTAAACACAGACTGTAACCAGGCCTACAATATATGGCTTTTACTTGTTTTGAATACAGGCCACATCATTACAGGCTACTGTACAACAGGCCGGAGCTCACCCTCTGTAAAAGATCATAATCAATCATTGTGGTCACTTGTTGTAAGTGTACCTTACAGGTGTCACTGGGTGCCGTGTGGGTGTGAGATTTAACACTAACACCATGAATAAGTGTAACTCCACTCCCTGATGTCACTAGTCTTGATCAAACTGACACAGAGAGTCTGATGAAATATAAAGTCTGCAGCCTCATTCCTTCTGCTGGTTTCTTCCTGCTAACATCCCCAGCCACAGAGCTAAGATTAACTACATTTTGTGCCATGTCTCCATGCAGAATGACTCCTGCCTTACATTTTCTTTGTAAACAGGCAGACATGTCCAAGATTACCTGGATAGAGACCTTGTTTGAGTGTTGGTCCTCACACCCAAAGCAGTTACACTGCATCGCAGTTCTGAGAAAGAGACTTTTCCCTGTGGAAAAGTTCTGCTGAGGTTAGATTGTGAAGCATTTCAGCGCCCAGGTTTTACAGGCAACTAGTGCCATGCAGTGGTTTGTGATATAAAAGGTAGAGGTAAAGTAATTGCCAACTGATTTTATTATTGATTAATTGGTTTAGGTGATTTTTTTTAAAGAAGAAGAAAAAGTCAAAATGTTCTGATTCCAGTGAATATTTTCTGTTTTCTTTGCTCCTCTATGACCGTAAACTAAATATCTTATAGTGGACAAAACAAGACATTTCAGGATGTCTTCTTGGGCTTTGGGAAACACTGATCAACATTTCTCACCATTTTCTGACATTTTATAGTTCAAATAACTCATCAATTTAATAGAGAAAACAATAGACAGATTAACAGCCTTAATTAAAAGGTAGGGTTGTTTGTAACTAATTTTCACCATTGATTAATTCTGGTTGTTTTCAGGGTGAACTGCTCAATCATTTCTAGTGAATTCCAAAACATCATGAAGAAATGCTCATCATAACTATCTAGGGCAGTGGTTCCCAACTGGTGGGTCCTGGTCAAAAAGTGGGTCACAGGTCCATTCTGAATGGACAGCTGCTTAACAGATACAGTAAACTAGTTCCACGACATGGCCAAATGCAAGTATGACACTGACTAAGTTAAACTGTGTGGACCTTGAACAAATGACTAAGGAGAAGTCTGGAGTCTGTCCTAGAGCTCAATGTGATGTGTCCTAAAATCCTGTTTTGTCCCAAATATGTATAATTTACTCTATGTATGTATAGCGAAGCAAATCCTTAAATTCAGGATGCAGGAACCAGCAAATGTTTGGCACTTTTGCTTAGCAGAATAATTGCTGATTTCTCTCTGGTAGCTGACTAATTCACAAAATGTTGCAGCTCTGATAAGAGGCATATTAGAGCCATGTACAGTATCATCGAGAGCTAAAAGTGAGGTTGGGTCACTGTTGAAATAATGAATCACAATTCAAGTCTTTGCATGTTTTCTTTCTAGTGAGCTTATGGTTTTTCTTGTTAGCCTGTTTCTCTTGATATTTAGCAACACTTGAAACAATTGAAATCGTTTGTTAAGCAAACATGTCAAATGTTGCTTGGTTCAGTGTCCCTTTAAGTCACTGTACATGTAATATTTTTGGATTGTGAATCTGAAGACAATCTCAAGACATCACTAAGGGCTTTGGAGAGTTGTGATGGTCATTTTTCGCTAAATGACAACTTGATAAACTAAAAAAAAGTTCCTCTAGTTAATGGAAATAATGGTTAACTGCAGCCCTGTTCACATTCCCTTACTCCCCTAACTGGCACATCCATAAAGATAAACCAGTCCACTTCAGAGTTACATTGGGCCTTGCGTGGAGGTCAGGATTTAAAGTTCGGAGTGGGCAGTCCTGCCTCATGTTCTCTCTTTCTGTTGTAGCATCTTCCAGACAAAAGACAATACATGGATTTGTGACGCCCACAGTCTACACAAAGAAAAAAAAAAAACACTTCAACTTCTGAGAGGCGTTTTTAGAAGGTTCCTTTATTTGGTGTTAGATGTGCCACGATACGCCTTGTATACATTTGGATTTGAGGAAAATTACTTTCAGATCATCCAGTTAAAGTTGGACCCATACAGAGACCCAAGTGCCTTTCTTCTCCTCATCTTATTGGGCAACACCCACTGAGAAGAGCATTTTCTCTTTACAAACTAATGTTTTCAGTAGATAATGTTATCACCATCATCAATTTGTCCACTGTATTTTTAAATCAGATTTTATTAGCTTTATTCAGTAGCTGTTTGATGTCTCTTTCAGGGCTAAATACATCAGCACAGAGTTGGGGATGCGAGAGCGTCTTTTCGTCGGGGTCTTGACATCCAAAAACACCATAAACACTCTGGGTGTAGCTGTCAATCGCACCATCAGCCATCACCTGGACACCGTGATCTTCTTCACCGGCATGCGCAACCGCAAAGTCCCTCACGGCATGTTTGTCGTCTCTCATGGAGACGAGAGGCAGATATGGAACATGTTTCAGAACATCAAATACATCTTAGACCATTACATCAATGAGTACGACTGGTTTTACTTTGTCCAAGACGACGCCTACACCGAAGCTGACAGAATCAAAGTCCTGGTGGAACACCTGAGTATGGATCGAGAGCTTTACATAGGCAGTCCGGAGGAGTTCATTGGTGGAGAAATGGAAGGGAAGTACTGCTACGGAGGGTTCGGGTACATCCTGTCACGTACCTTGCTCCTCAGACTCCAGCCCTTCCTGGAAAACTGTAGGAATGATATCCTGAGCGCCAGGCCCGATGAGTGGCTCGGAAGATGCATCATTGACTACACGAACACAAACTGCGTCAGTGAATATGAGGTAGGTTATGTGTGTTTCTTACAGGGGCACACGATCACACTCTACCTATTACACACCTCTTTTCTCAATGATGCATCAATTTTTAATCTGTAAAACTGTGTCTTGGACTCTTAATGTTTGATGTTTAAAGGGAACAGACTGGGGCGGTTCATAGTAAAAATGAACGATGAGCCACAGAGGGAAACAAAATGCCCAGACTGTCACTCAGAACAATTGTGAGACAGGTTACAGCAGGGGTTCTGCTTCCAGAAAGAAAAACAAAACTGTCACGGCAGAAAGCATGCTTTGCCTCTGGGACAGCACTTAGAACTGACAGACAGCTATATAAAAGTGTAATTACCACGCGCTAGCACAGAGGTGGTGTTTATATTACCGAATAGATTGCTAATACCCTTTAGCCCTTCTTTTTTTCTTTTCCATAGCTCCAGCAGCAACGTGGAATAGGTAAACAGGCAAGCAGAACACAGCTGAGTTCAACCTTGCTTAGGTTCAATGGTGCGAAAATCCCCTGTGGGTCAACATGCTCTGCTCCTGTAATGTCATTAGCATTTAAGGTCAAACAAGCTCTGCGGAGACCTGATCTGTCCCAGTGCCCTCTCAGCTCTCAGGTGATTGTTTGTTGCGTTCAGCACAGTTCACTTAATCCATACTAACGTTTGTGCCCTTTGTTCATATATACATTGTCACAAGGTTATCAGTGTAAATGAGGGCTGGGCAATAAATCAATGCCTGTATCAGTATCGTGATATGTGACGTTATCATCTTTTTTGGATATTGTAATATGGTGTGTATATATATAGTGTTGTCTTTTCTTGATATGAAAGCTGCATTACAGTTAAGTGATGTAATTTTCTGAACTTATCAGACTGTTGTAGCTTTTCTACTATTTGTCTTTATCCACTTAGTCATCATATCCACATTACTGTTGATTGTCAAAAATATAATTCAGTCGGGAATGCTATGTGGCCCACTGAATATGTGGAGTAGTGTCACTGGCCCCGCACAAGAGTTCCCACTCGGCTCATAGACTCTACATTGCGATGAGGTCAAGGATTTTCTCAGCTTGAGGGAAGTTTTACAAATATAAAACCTCCTTGGATCAAAAATCCAAAATAGAAAGAGTCATAATGACCTTCCTTGCAGTTCGAGGTGACCTGTCCAGTTTTACAGACATGTCTTCTATAATGGTGGCCTGTGGGGAAAATGCTCTTTGGTCACTGGGAAAAAATGGCTGCAAGGCTGAGCAGCAGTCCTGGGGACCAGGTAACTATTTATACAGTTGTCTACTTGCACAATGTAATGTGCCGTATATCCGTTTTATAGACTTTAAGTCTGTTTTTTTTTATCCTTTCTACCATAAGGTTAGCATGTCAGCTAGCCTAGCCTAAAATGAAGAAAAGCACCATCAAGTTTATGAGGGTGGTCAGCACTACGCAGTTTTATTGCTTGCTTTTGCAACGAAGTTTGTAAAACATATATATGCACACTACATTGTGCAAGTAGACAATATACAGACCACTATTTTGTAGTGGGAGTGATTCAGCTGTCTTTTGCTTCCATTTTCTCCTACTTGGCCATGACACAAAGCAGGAAACCATCTTGTTACACAGTTGAGAGTGAGTTGCATGGCTAACTAAAGTGCCCTGAGCCAGAAGAGCTCCAGCAGAGCCCCCTCAATGAGGGAGGGGAGCAGGGGGAAAGTTAAAAGGCCTGGTGTGAGTGAAGAAAACAGCTTGAGCTCAGAGCCAGCATCAATTTTTTCTGTTAAGAGAGAACATTGATGACAATTAGGCACGGATAATGCTTTACTAAGTGTACCACTACAGGCTGTTGGCAAACATTTACAACAGAGTGGCCTCGCTGCTCAGTTAAGCAGTGTCTCCATTCTTTGTTGATGAGATTGGATTCACTTTTTTTTAATCACTCAAGCTCTTTAGGTGACTACTCTTTTTTCAGCTTAAGTGACTATGTCTTTAAGTGGGATTCTGGTGCCAGTGTCAGTCATTTGTGTTATTAGGTTTCAACCTTTAGATTCATAGCTGTTGCTTCTTGATGCTCCAGTTATCATACTTTATTATATATATAATGTAGCTAAAGATAGAGCATCTCATAAACCTCGTGTTCCCAGACAAATTTAATTCTTGAAATGATCAAAACTCCAACAATAGACAGTTGTTGTATAACAATAGCATCCAGTTCTTACAAAATGAATCTCTGTCTTCCCCTCACTATGCAATTATGGTTGAAGCCAGCCTGTTTGCCATGGAGAGGAGCCCAAGATGCTGACTAGATAGTGTGTGATGTTTGTTTGAATGGAAGTAGCACAGCATAACAACTAAGCTTGGAAAAACATTAAGCATGTTTCTGTCATTCCTGATTTAAAATGCCTCATGAAAAGACGTCTCTGTTTCTTCTCAGGGGCTTCACTACCACCATTATGAGTTGGGAAAAAACTCTGATCCAAGTAAAGAACAAAGTGAACAGTTCAAGAATGCTCTGACTGTCCATCCAGTGTCTGACCCTGAGCAGATGTACAGGCTGCACAGATACTTCACTGAGATTGAACTCCAGAAGACTTACGATGAGATTGCTAAGCTGCAGGTAAGCTGCTTTTCAAGTGTCACACATCACCCATGGTTCAGTCAAAAATAAAAACCTGGCTTCTTTTTTCTTACCTCTGGAGGGTCAGCAACTGTCCAGATCTGAACACTTCTTGTGTTTCCACAGGCTGAAATAAAGAACGTCAGTGTTGTCGCTTTTGAGGGGAACCGAAGCGCCCAGTGGCCTGTGGGGATCAATCCACCTTTTGAACCGAAATCTCGGTTTGAAGTTCTGAAGTGGGAATACTTTACAGAGGAGGAGATTTATTCATGTATCGATGGCTCTCCAAAGTGTGAGCTGCAGGGTATTGACCGCATGGATGTGGCTGATGTCATTGACATAGCCATGATAGAGCTGAACAAGAAGTACAAGCCTGTCCTACACCTGAAGAAGCAGCAGCTGATTAACGGGTACAGGCGCTTCGACCCTGTCAGGGGCATGGAGTACACCTTGGACCTTCAGCTGGAGGTGGTTAACCAAAAAGGTCACAGCCGATCCATCACCAAGCGAGTTCATCTGGTGCGACCTTTGAGTCGGATTGAGATCATCCCCATGCCCTATGTCACTGAAGCTACAAGGGTTCACATCATAATACCGCTTACTCTGCAGGACCGGAGCTATGTTGACCATTTCCTGGAAGTCTTTGCCTCAAATGCTTTTGAGACCAGTGAAAATGCTATCCTAACATTCTTGTTTATTTATGACCCAGTGGAGGCACAGCAGGTTAACCAGAATGATATATTTGCCAGCGTGAAGACTCAGATAAACACATATGAACACAAATACTCTACAGTAAAAATCCCCTGGATAAGTGTCAAGACAGAAACACCATCCCAGATCAAATTTATGGACATCATCTCAAAGAAACACCCAGTTGACTCACTGTTCTTCTTGGCTAACGTCCACACAAATGTTAACTCGGAATTTCTGAACCGCTGCCGCATGAATTCCATAAACAACTGGCAGGTGTTCTTCCCCATCCATTTCCAGGACTTCAACCCTGATGTGGCCTACCACAACCAGCAGCAACCAGCCACAGTCGATCTGATCAGGGACGCAGGCCATTTTGACCGCAGGTCATTTGAAGAAGCGTGTTTTTACAACTCGGACTACATGGCCACACGCACGCGGATGGTGGCAGATGTCCAAGAGAATGAGGAGATTCTAGAGACTCTGGACATCTTTGACATGTTCTTAAAGTATTCAGATCTGCATGTATTTAGGGCAGTGGAGCCAGCGTTGCACCAGCAGTACAGCTACCAAGCATGCAACCCGCGGGTAAGTGAAGACATCTATCATAGATGTGTTCAGAGCAACTTGGAAGGTCTCGGTTCTCGCGCCCAGCTTGCCATGCTGCTTTTTGAGCAAGAACAAGGAAACAGCACTTGAGAGCATCTGTGTACTTCGGCTCCCGCATGTATGGATGTTAAAAGTTGTGCGTCTGTTGAAATAGCTGCTCAATGCAAGCTAAAATCTGGGACAACCCATATCTTGGGGCTGAGGTTACGTATGTGACCTTGCCTTACATTCTCCATCCTTCAGTGTGCATCAAGGACTATTTGGCTTGTCAGAGATTTTAGCTAGTTTGGAAAAATGAATGCAGTACATTCCTTATCAAACCTTCCCTTAAATGTTTACAGTACTTGTCCATACAGATGAGTTGCTAGAACCAAATGTTTTTGCTACCCTGACGATTTCTAAAGAAAAGTTTTTGACCACTAGGTGGCAGAAATTCACAGCAGCAGAGCATTGACGTAGTGCTGGCTTATCCAGTTGCAATGTTAAAGGTGGTTGCTACAGATCTAACCGGTACAGGGCTATATAGGTAACCTGTTGGAGTTGTCTTTTTCTCAATGTGTCCAGTGTATTTTCAACATTCAATGGGATTTTATCCTGTTTGGTCGATAAATTCCTGGAAGACAAATCTTCATTTGACCATTTTGAGTTGTGGAGGTATCACGCGTGAGATCAATCTGTGATAATGTGCTGGGTGCAGCTGCTTATAGTTTTGTTAAAGAGGACTGAATCAGTTTAACCAAAGCAATGAGCTGAAAGTGGCGAAAAAGCTGCGGTGCTTTGTTGCTTTTCAGCGGGATCAGAAGTACTAGCAGCGGCGGATTCACATTTTTAGAATGTCATAATGTTAATATCAAAGATATTGTTAAGTGGAGCTGATATATAGCTCTATTAGGTATATATTAGTATAATGCACCACAGGTTGTGTGCTTGTTCATTGTAACATTGAGCTTTTGATATTTACTGATTTGAGTATTTACAAAAGCGCGTCTTCGTATATGTGCCTTCACACTGACTTTTCATATGTTGACTGTTTTGAACTTAAGTTACACCGTTTTGCAATTCACTCCTTCAGGTGACTCACAGCTGGCGTTTTTCTTTAGAACATGAACAACAGTTCTGAATGGGTGGGGGACATTATCTGTCACTTTGGATGAGGCCTGTTACGTAGCTGGGAAAACTGAAAGGGTAGTCGGTTCACCTTAAATCTTTTAAAGGTGACTTGGAACTATAATGATCACAACCGTCCACAGGTTGTATACGTGCCTCAAAGCAGGCAAGGAGTTGGCAAAAAGTATATTCTGTGGTCTTCAGAGGTCATAGATAAAGACAAGTGTAGGCCAGCAGCTTGTATTTGAGTTTAAGTTTTCTCCATGAAACCTTTTGATGTTGCAAGAAAATTTTACATGCAGGAGGCAAAGGAGAATCATGAATAATAAGGGGAGAAATCACCTTGGTAAATGTCTTAAGTGATTGCAGGTGAGTCCTCATTGAAGTGGTACTTTAAAACAGGATTTAATTAGTTTAGAAATGATTGAAATCAAGAATGTATGAAACTTTTTTCCCCCATGTCATCAAGTTCAGCAGTTTTTATACTATATAATAAGATGTTTAAATGTTCCAAAGTATTTTGGACTGTATTGTTTAAGATTTTGTAAGTTATTGAATGGTGTCGTTGTCCTCCATTTCCTGAGCTCAGTTTTAGAAATGGGTGCGTCCTCCCAGTCACAGTGCAGTCCAATGGGAGGCCTTTTCTACATTATTGAGTGATTGTGGAGGTAGCGGTACTGGACACCAGACAGTTGTAAGTGTATTATAATGTGCAATATTACAGATAACACAACTTGCTAGGTGTCTGATGGAGGGACTTTAACTTTTAAAGACATTTGCTGCAAGTTCAGCAGTGTGTGTTTATCACAGTACGGTTTATGACATCACACAAAGACTCATGCTTTCTGTTCATTAAGTAAATACACTGTAATTTCTTTTGACAAGACCTTAATGTATATTGCTGACACTAGACACTTTTCATCATCAAATTTACTTTGAAATATATCAAATTAACCAAGGCAAGTCCTTTTATTTAACTCTAATTGGGTTCAAAGTATTTTGTTGGAAACACTACATCCAGTGTTTGCTGTATTATCTGCCATGTGAAAGACCACGGAGGTCATTTTATAACGCATCTCTTTCTTGATGAGAGCAGAAGAGTACGACGCTAATAATGTGCGGAAATGGAAACTGAATCTTCAAAAAAACCACTGTGAAAGATGGAGGGCTTATATTACAACATGATGTGTGAAGATCTGCGTCATCGCTGCCTTCCATAGACACGAGAAGCTTAAAATTAAGCGTGTGTGGCAGATTAATCACCCCGTGTTGTTAACACAGCCGCCGTCGCTGAGCGAAGTCTCTAAGTATTTTGTCCATAACTTATTTATCTGTAATTTCTCTATGAATTATGCAGATTCTGAATACTTCCGCACTAGCAGAGACTTTCATGACATTCTCTGTACATGTATAAATATTTTATAGACTCTATTTTTACGCCTTTTTGTAGCTTTATGTACACAGCAATTGATACTTTATTATTTTTGGTGACACATTAAACATATATCTTACTTTGTATTTTGTGCTTTGAAAATCATGTAAATTGACCATGAAGACAGTTTAATTTGTGTGTTTCACCTTCAATCAAGTAATATGTTTTAAAAAACAGTCTCATTTTTTAAAATTTCCATCGATGTTTGGACCTATTGGTTTACATTATTTTATGCATATGGGTACTAGTATAACCAAAGCGATACATTTTAATTAATGCTCATCACATTTAATTGTGTGCTGTAATTCCCAATGAACTGTGAATTAATGTAATTTTTAAATAAAGAATATTTGAATATACATATTCCCTCTTTTTGTCGTTTTTATTTTTTAGAATTAAAAAATAGTCATTTTTGTATTGCAGCTACAAAATCCAGTTTGTCCTTTAGGTGTCAGCAGAAGAGCTTGTTTACTGTCTGCAGCACAGGTCCTGGCTGTCAGTTGCTGAGGTGAGCGGCAATATTGAACAACATTTAGAGAATATATATCTAACACATACTGGTCGTCTCATTCTTGTTCCCAGCGTGTGCTCAGTGGGACTGCAGTTAACATTCCTGCCCATGTCAGACCCGAGGTATTCCTGATGTCTGGGTTGGGTAAAAACAGGGAAAACGTTGCAACCTTAATTACAGCTTTAGTTATTTCAAGGGTCTATATGCACTACCCCGAGGCATGCTGTAAAACCACATAACTACAGAGCAGCTGGGAGTTAATTGTAAGTCATTATTTTGTACTTCGCTTTACGTTCAATCCCAGGACTTTCTCCTCCCACACAGGGACACAGTTGTTTCAAGTCCCCTTGAAACTGGTGCAAAGAGTTTTCAGTTTTCAGGACAATTCAGGTTCACCTGGAGGGTGTTTTAAGGAGCAGAATTACACAAATTACTAGACATTAAGAGGAATGGTCAAGAAATCACTTATCCTAACTAGATAATTGCACTTCTTCAAAGACCGTCTGAGTGGTCCTTTATTGTGTCTTTAAAACCTACCTTTGAGATGCCTGAAGTCTTTTTGAAACCTTGAAAGTAATTTAATAAGAACGTCTTCATCAGTGGTGGAAAGGATTTAAAATGGGAGGCATAATTGCAATACATTTTCACTGTGTTGTGAAGGAAAAAAGGACAATGTGAAGTGGGCTCTGGATTTAGGAGGCACTGGTTTTACCAATCTAAACTTTAATAGTTATCGTATTTACCATATTTAACATTTATAAAATGTGTTCTAACAGAGGAAATAATCACAAGATGACACATCTGTACAAAATGTAAGCGCTCCTTGTTACTGCAGTCATGGTCCATTTCCTTGTCTGTCAGATATGCGATGGAATTTCTTCTTAGGAATTCCTGACAGCTGCTTGTGTCACCATGCAATCGTATTTTTTTTTTTCCCGTTTCTCAGATGACCTCTTAGACTTCAGCTAAAAATAAGCGGCTGAAAAAGAAGGCCATAACATCAGATATTCTAAATTTAACATCAGTGGCTGGTCAGATTAAATTGATTTTTACGGATAATGTCATAAGCACATAGAGCACATGTGAGTGAATGTCACAGAGCTATAAAAAGGTAGGCCCAAAGAGAAGTGCAAGAAGGGAGCTCAGAGTAGAGGCTCGAGGAATCCCAGGAATGTGAGCTACATGTTATCAAGCAGGGAAGTTGTCCCATCTGCTACAGTACAGACCTGCCGCCCACCACCCAGTCCTGTGGCACCTCACACAGACGGCATGCCGTTGTAAAGTCAACACTTTGTACTCATCTGCGTTTTTAAATGCTTTTGTAATCAGGTTTTACAGCGTACAGCACCTCGAGGATAGAAAACCTTTTCTACATCGACTCCAGGCTCCAGCATTCAAACACAACTCGACAGTGATAATGCAGCCCAGTATTCATCTCAACACACCAGCCCCTGTGCGACTTGTCTGAGGATAGCTACAATTATTGATGACAGAGGAGAAGATTGTTATGCATAGCCTGTACAGGATGCCATCAGAGACTGTGATTGGGAACCTTTTGAAAATGTCAAAGTGACACATGATTATGAATATTAAACAGCCATGTATAGCCCATGATTACTTGACAGGATGAGGGGATTTGACAGATGGAGGAATCTCATTGTGAGCTAAAGCGATGAATGGCGATATTGCGGCAACAGAATGCGTCGACCAAATTAACAGAAAAATTATGGCATCATTTGTAAACATGATATCCTGTAATGTGAGGCATTTCATAAACTTCCCAGACAAACGTAATGAATTACACACAGAGTGGGGTGTCAAAGGCCTGTCAGAACTTTAAGCAGTACGCTTTATGCTTTAAGCAATACAGCATGTGATGCCACACTTTTGAAGCCCAAACTGCTGCATAATAGCAAATAAGTTGCTGGCATGCTATGAGGGAAACATGATCGACATCTCCACCAACATCAAAACAATTCCCACGTGATTTAGCACATGTGGTCCCGTGTTACAACTGGATGTGAATTACTTTCTTCTACCCGAGCATTGTCAAATATGTTAATGGCTGATGGGGCAACATCAGAACTTATGACGCCCTATAAAGCAAAGCGTCTAATGTTCTGTGGGTGAGAGTTAATTAAAAAAAGACCGCATCTCAGGCATTGCATCATTTCTGAAAGCACAGTCCTGAAAGTTTCTCTAAATGAAGGCGAAAGCAAAGCTAAACAAATATTTGCAAAAGATGATGCAAGTGTGCCTGCACTGTGAGTAACATTAGATTGAAGCAAAGGGCAAAAGGGTAAGAAAGGAAGAAATTATATTGCGAGGCCAAAAAAATTCTCTCTATCAACACAAAGAACAAGGCCAAGTCCTGCCAAATTGTCTAGTCTTAAAAATTCAGTCTCAGCCTGTAGTTATTTAGAGAGAGTCTAAATCCTATTTCCACTGCAGGAACTTAAGGGTACTTTTACACTTGCCCTGTTTGGTTTGGTTCAATTGAACTCAAGTTCGTTTGCCCCCAAAGTGTGGTTCATTTGGGCAAGTGTGAACACACTCTACTTAGGTGCGCACCAAAACAAACAGGCCGAGACCTTCTTGACAAGGTGGTCTCGGTCCGGTTATAAATGAACTCTGATGTGGTTTGTTTGTGGTAAGAACATGTTCCAACCTTGATACGAACCAACTGCAGTCCAGTTGCATTACACATTGTTTGGGTTAAACATGAGCATGTTACAGTCCCAGAGGATTATTAATGTGCACCTCCTCCTGTACTGCCATAATATGCACATTCAGCACATCCAATGCATCAAAACATTGTTTTCTAGTTGGAGTGAGTGTTGCATTTATCTTGCAAGTGTACTCTTCTTCAAGGTTTTGTTTACTTCCTGGATTTTTCCCGCATGGAAATTCTGACCAATCAAGAGCAGCTTTCTCGTGCAAGGCATTTAATCTGGTCTGCTTGTAAATGCTGCCATGAGAACACGAACCAACTCTAGGCAACAAAATTAGTCCTTGATTCGGACCAAAGCTAGCGAACTCTAGGTTTGAAAGCACCCTAATATTACTTAACATGCATGGGTTCTTTTGTTTCCACCACTTGCTTCGTAGATGAGTTCCTGGAGCAAGAGGTGATACTTAATGTAAATTTCAAGTACTTTCTGGGTTTACTGATGCTGCAGGTAATGGTGATCAAGCAAATGTTTTGTCTCATTACAACAAAAATGACAACAGCCATCACCATTTTACAACTGCCTCCATACTGAACAGAACAGTTGCTAGGCAAAAAAAAAAAAAAAATGTCTGGATGAGGGAACCCTGAAAAACAAGAAAAAGACAAGAGGATTTCTCAGCATCTGGCAATGACACATGGCCCAACAGTGCAGGGAGTAAAGTAAAAAGATCAAACAACTGAAAAACTACAAAGTGGTTCACAGAGCTGGACTTCATTTTTGACCACCGGCAGCAGCAGTGCCCTGGAGCTAGCATAAATGTGCAGGAAAATCAATATGTGCACTACTTCTTCCATTGTCTGTCCCACTGAACTCTCCTACCATGAAAATTTCTTGGTAAGTTATATGACACAGTATAAGAGGTGCTGCTGTTGCCTTTAAATCCAAAAGTCTCAATTTTTAAGGGATAACTCAAGGAAGAACCTTTCACTGAAGCCAATAATCTTCTTAAAGGAGAGGATTATTGGAGGGCAGAGGTAACAGTTTAAGTTCCTGCAGTGCATAAGGGCAAGTGAGCAAGCTGACTTTACATAATGAAGAATATAATCATGAATGAATCAACATAAGGGTCTCTATTTATAGTTCATGTTCCCACTTTGCTAACTTGTGCTCTTTAAAGCTGTTGTGTCTTTGTCCCGCCCACTGAGGATTAAGTTAACCAGTAAGAATATTTCAGCCTCCAGAGCAATTTTTAAATTAAACTCTGAGCTGCCCTAACTCCCTCTATATTTTAGAAAAACCTTACTACTGCAATAAAAACTCCCTGCTTTCTTGCTAACTATTCCGATTTCAAACATCCCTTTTTTCCCCCATGGATCAGCCCGGCCAAGACGCATCAGCCCACTGTGCTCAGTCATGTGTGCAAAATGTTAAAGTGCACATGCAAACAAACACACACACACACCTCAGACACACACACACATTGATGCCGGGTCTCCACTGTAAATAGCTGCTACACTTTTACAGTGGTGCTACCCCACAAGCTGAAGGAGATGACTCTGCAAAAAACATGAAATTCTGTTTCTTATTGCTTATGTCAGCTCAAAGTTATGATGCTAACCAAAGTGAAGAGTGGATGGTGGGCAGAAATGAAATGAATAAGGAGGATAATTTAAGTACAACCATGTCATAACTGAAAACATCATCCACCCCTCATCCAGGATGTGTGTGTGGTCTTGGAAAAAGCAGGACATATAAAAAGGAAACGATGGCGATATAATAGTCACGATCCATACAGTCCATTTTTGTCACCTGGACAAATGTATTGATGTTTGGCAGTCTAACATATCTGCAGATTGTAAGTGTACAGTAATTGCTACAATCGTGACCGCTATTGTCATATAAAAGTCTTTTTCTAAAATGTATAAATAACTCAAATTAATATTACATAAGTTATATATTAACCGAATATAAACAACAACCATTGAAACAGAGCTTTAGAACTTTCTCATTTTAAAGTTGGACTTTATGTACAGGTACAATGCTACTCTCTAACACCTTAACCACAAACCAGACAAAGTGTATCATGTGGAAAGATGCTGCTAGATCTTCTAAGCCAAGGTCATACAGTTCAGCCTATGTAATTCCCCTCACGTTATGGATGGTTGTAACACGAGTAAGATCTGCTCACTGTAAGTATTCTCATCTTGTATACAATATAGAACATATAGATAATAGTATCTCTTTAAATAATTACATAATTTAGAATGTGTAATGGCTTGATATGGTACAGTGTGTCTTCCATGAAGTAGGAGGAGAGAAATGGAGGAGTACAGACAGAAAAAAAGTCAAGGATGCTAGCTGAATAAATAAATCACTGGAGTATAAACTGGATCAAGGTGACATGCAGTCCTCCTCTTGTTCCGTTGTAGTGATCATGTACCAAAAATTGGTCCTGAAAAAACAAAGTGCCTGACTTCTCAGGTGAAGCTTGACAAAGTTGAGAGGGGTCCCATCCGGAGAGAGAAAAAAAAAAATCATAATAAATAAAAGCGGTGTCCAATTTGTGCCTACATACTGTACGTACAAGTGCTTTGTTAGCAGCACAAGTTTGGTGTTCGACTTTGGCTGTAGCTTTTCACTGGTGACAGCAAAGGAGCGACGGAAATGCCAAGAGTCTGTTACTGATCTGAACACAGACGGCTTTTATCTTTTGGTGTCACCAGGACTGGAAACGATGGTTGGCTCTAGCAAGCGAAGTCCTCAAACACCCCGTGGTGCCCGGCGTGATGGTGGTGGGGGTGTGGGTGTGTGTGTGGGTGTGGGTGGGGATGGTGGTGGTTGGGGAGGATCGTATTGGCGTACGCCCCCTCTGGGTGACTCCGTGTCATGTCATTGGGCTCCTGTTGAAGGCACAACAAACGTCAAAAGTCAAATACGACATCATGCTTCAGAGATCATGTGTGACAATCTGTAGATGATAATGTATGTGCCAAAGTCATTTAAAAATATCATCATAGTAGTACTTTAACATTGTAATTAAAATTAAAAGTTCGACATTTTGGGAAATACACTTATTCACATACCAAACCAGAGTAAGGCCCTGATCACACAGAAAGTGTAGATGTTGACGCACATTAAGGAGCTGCTTGAAAAAATGTGGCTAATGATATAGCTAGTTACTGTCTTTTCTTTAGCACATGACTTCGTCTAGCAACATCTAGCGACTTTACTGTTGGCTTTAGCTATTTCCCACATACAGTGGTTGGTAACACTGCTTCTAAAGATATTTAATTTATATGTGAAATGAAGATTTGTGGTTTTAGAGGAGTTTGTAATTATTTTGTGACAGCAAGAATTTATCTAGTGCTACAGTGCAGCGTCTCTATAGCACAGATATGGTCAGTGAGAGGAGTTTGTTACTGCTCTCTGTACAGGCACGATCCCTAACAACCGCACCGTGATGACTGCACCTGGCTGTTGTTGGCTCATGGTTACAGTACGTAACTTCCCCTTAAACCACAAACTGTATACGTTACATTGCTGTTTATGCATACATTGAAAACAAATGCTAATTACATCCTTACTCCTGCTTTGTACTTAATGTGATTCTGATGTTCTCATCTAACTCTTGAAAAAAAAAAAAAAAAAAACTGAATAATTGCATTTCCCAAAAATATCATCGCTTTACATAAAAGATTTTGGCAAGATAAACCCAGTGAAGTGATCCTGTATACTGTGTGTCCAAATGCAGCATAAGTGTAGGAGGCTGAAATGACAACTGTCATTTTCTCGGCTCTCAGCATAGCTAATTGTTAATTCAGTGAGATGGTCAAGTTAAATTCTTGGATCTCTGCATGTGTAAGACGGTGTGTATAACACTTACACTTGGCCACGGATGCTTTTTTTGACCATGGTTTCCAAGAGAAAGATTTCAGCTAGTTAGGTAGCTGAGCATTACTTATTAAGTTCTGTATATATATTTTAAGTTAATAAAGAGCTGAAGTCCCTTAAATGAATTTTCTGTGAATTGTTAATGACTTCTCCAATAGACATGGAGCGCCCACATTCTAAAACTAATTTGGAGTGGAAAGTAAAATGTGATGTAAGCCAGTCAGAGCAGCCAAACCTAATAAATGCTGCATATACTGAATGGTAACAGAATAAAGTGTCTTTTCAGTTTCTCTGGCTGACTTGTTTAGAAGTTTAAACCCTGCTATAGTTTTAGTATGTTGTGTGGAACTGAGTCACAGTTATGGTTCAGTGAGACAAGAAGTCTATTGTTCAGATATAAGCACAATAAAGTTGTGCAATAACAAATCCAGGCTCCAGGGGAGGATGTGCTTTGCACAGTGGTTAAGACTAATTAGGAGCAATACATTCTTCATTATTTTAGAAGTGGAAAAATATTAATTTGCCTCTCCCTGAATTATTCCCTTGTAGTTTCCTAATGCAGTTACAGTGCCGCAGGGAAAGTTGTACACTAGGCGTGAACACAGTTATTTGTTACAGTACAGTATGTGCTGTACCTTTGCTTTCATTTCCTCTAGACCCACTGTTGCAACAGTGCTGGTCTGCTGCTTGTTCTTCTTCTCTTTCTGCGGCCTCAGCAGACGTTGTAGCCGGTGCTTGATCACCTGGTTTCACCCATAGCACAGCAGCAGGGAGGGTGAAAGAGCACAGATGAGCGAGGGAGACAAGAGATGCAGCAGAGTGAAGAGTTCATTCACTGTGATGTCTGCATTACAGGCCCTCCCTCTGATTTCGCTATATTCATACATGTTTTGCAGTCAGCAGGTAGCCCGCTGGAGAGCTTAAAGGGAATACAGCTGAGACAGGAGTTCATTTCATGCATGTCTTCAGCACAGACCCGAGCGGATATTAGTTTCTCCAGCCTGGAAATCAAATAAAACTCCTCACATGTAGAGTAAGCGATAACATTTACACTGCCAGTTCTCAGATGTTCTGATGATTATGTGTGGGAAGAACACAGAAAGTAAAAAAATTTGTCATTATTTGGGGAAAGTAAAATAATCCATGAGGGCACATATGTGTTTTCTTAATAGTCACATTAGTCGGCTGCAGCAGATTTCTTGCTGAGGACAATAGCTGTTAATTATTTCTAATTATATCACAGCTAGGTCTGACCTCATGTTGTGACTGACTGATGTGTGTGTGGGCCTGCACAGCCACCATACCTCATAGATGTAATCCAGTATTTCTAAGACTGTCAGGATGCTGGCTCCGATGAATAAGCCCATCTGTCCGCCGATGTCACCTGAAAAGCAGGAGCACTTAGGGAGAAGCACAATGGACCTGATACCAAAGCAGTTTCTGTTTGCCACTAATGGTAATGAAAAGTAAGTGCAGCTTCTATAACAACGCCTTTCACTCTGCACCTGCCAGGTCTATTTAAATATTCAGAAAAGAGAGAAACAAAGTGACAGAACTCTTACCTAATAAACCTGCAACATCGTAGGCTTTCTTTTGCTCAATCGTCTCAAAGTTCAGAGCTTCAAAGAAGATATCCAAAACCAGGAAGTTGTCTCTGGAAGAACAAGTGTCAAACACAGTGAAATGCACTTGCGCTGTTTTCACAACTCTCTACAAATCTAACATCATTTAAGAAAAAACACCATTTCAAGTTGTCTTTATGCTCACTGTAAATTGTTATGATGGGATTGTCAGGCCTACAGCGCTTTACACAGATCCAACCAGCGATTGTGAGATAATGAGGTGTTTCAGGGTTTAACTGAGATGAGCAGAACGAGCAATGACAGCATGCTCAGTCACCGCCACGTCTCTGATCTCTCTGGATTTAGAAAGTCTGGTAATATTAAGTGTTGTGAGGCATCATGAGCTCTTTGGTTTAGGCATGTTTACCTTCTACTACATCCCTGCCTATTAGGCGCTGAGAGGAATTACAGTGTAAGCACGTTGTAAGTGCATTAAGTTCATTATAATCTGAATATTAGTAAATGTTCCACAATGCACGTAGTAAAACAGGATTAAAAGTTGAAGCCCTGCTTGTGGTCGTTAGAAGTTACAATGTTCATTATGCCTCACAGTATTAATGAGCTGCATGGAACAAACAATATACTGTTATACAGGTTAGGGTTGTGAATTGTAGGCACTTTTATGTATCAATCATTGGTAACATTTACAATCAATTAATCATGATTAAAAAAATCCATAAAATTGTACTTATACCAAACAATACCTAATATGTTTTTTGCTCAATCAAAGCTCACAACAACATATTGCATACTAGTTATATAGTACTAGTCCATACCCATTGAGTACACAGTTGCCCACGTACAGTTTGACATGGTGTGTGTTTGGGATACAGGTCATAGGAAATTGCAGATTAAATAGTCAACTGAACCCATTAAGAAGATCATTGTATTCAGACAGAGTTTTTGTGAATTTGATAATATGATTACAATTGCTTTATTGAAATTACAGTAGTACCATTGCCAATAGTGGGATAGTTAGTGGGCTAAAACTGTACATTAGTAGTTGAGGCAGCACAGTGAAAGGCAGATAGTTAAAGTGTTTACATGTTGTATTGACTTAAAAGTGGGGCGCACTGGTAGAATGACTGACTGACAGAATGACACACTGACAGTTTCCATGATTATGTACAGCATACCATACCATGACTTAGTCATACCAAAAATTAGGAAATAAAAACCCCAAAACATTCGTCCACAGGGGGAGCCACAGTGATCGACCGCATTTTAGCCATTTTTAAGCATTTTTCTGTTGTTATAGCGCCACCCAGTTGCCAATTAGAGTTAAATTTCTTCAGTCACCTTGAGGCGTCCTGTTCTACATATCTACCGAGTTTAGTAAAAATTGATATGGCTGTTAGGCCTAGATAAGAAATTAGCTCTCTAGCGCCCCCATTTTGTTTGATGGGGTCAATAATGGAGGGGTCCCCTCAGATGATGTGTGGTCATATGCCTACAAAGTTGCGTGGTGATCGGTGAAACCCTTGAGATGTTATACACATTTATGTGATGAGCCACACCCTCTGCAATATTCATTGCCTTATAGAAGCTCAGTTTTAGTAAGTTTTCCAACTTTTGCCAAGAGGGAACTTTAGATATTGGTCCCTTGATTATGTTCACCGAGTTTCATGCAGATCGGTCAAACTTCCTAGGAAGAGATCGATTTTAAGTGTTTTTCAAAAAATTCAAAATGGCGGGAAATCCATATCACCAGAAGTTCTGGGTTCTTGAGGCAAATTTGTTCCTCATGAGGAGAGGCATCTCTGTGCAAAGTTTCATGTCTCTACGACATACGGGGCATGAGATATGCACATTCAAAGTTTAAAATTTCAATCGTTTGCTACAGCGCCCCCCTTTGGCCAATTGATGTAATATTGCTTCATTCTCATCCTCCCATGACCCTCTACCATTGTGCCAAATTTCACATGGATTGACCAAGTCAGTGAGGAGAAAAACGTGAAACAGACACACACAGACAGAGTTTTCATCATTATATAGTAAGATAACAGTTATCTTGCACCCTTTGTTTGCTAATGCTAGTCATTGAAATGTGCTTTTGAAATACACAATTCTACTGACAGCTAGAATGTAAAAGGAGTCTGCACATTGTTTATTTTTTAGAATCAGATCTTTATTTGATTGATTAAATTTGAATTGTTTGATCAAATTCTTCATCGATCGTCGATTAATCATTACCATCCCAAGTGTAGATCTCCACTAGGTGTGTCTGTGGGTGGGGAAGGGGGAGTGCAGAACAGGCTGTGTGTCCAGCGTGTACACATGACAGTAGTGGAACATGGGTCCATGTCATTGGTTCGACAGCCCATTGGTCCGACATCCCATTAGTCCGATGGTCCGCGGTGCTGAACGGCTCCCGGCGGGCGTATTTCTACCTTGATGGTGCGCTGCTACCGGCTTTGGGTCAGCTGGGAAAGGCTTGAGGCGAAGCAGTCTCACTGCTTATGTGTTTGTCACTTTCTTTTTCATTTTAACCCACACCATGATCTTTTCCTGACCCTAACCAAGTGGTTTTTGTGCCTAAACCTAACCAGACCTTAACCACAGGGCATCATGATGATTTCAGAACAACGGGACTTCGGAACAATGAGTTTAATATGGTCAGAACAATGGGATGTCAGACCAATGGGCTGTCGGACCAATGGGCAGTTCCCATGGGACATAATAAAAAGATGATGGCAAAGATAATAGGAGCAGGAATTGATTCATGTAAGGTGCCTAACTTTAGTGGATAACAAAATATTGGGTATGGAACTAATCTGCCAGTGGTCTACTCCAAAATGAGACCAAACTACTCTATAAATGTGTTTTTCTCAGCCCAGCCAATTCCTGCAAATGGCTTTTACATTGTGATTTTGTTGATCACTGCCCAAGCTATATTGCAGTTACTTATACAAGGAAAAAAAACAGGGATAATTAAGCTATTATAAACATATTAATATTATTTTAAAACTACAATTTTGAATTTCACACTGAGCTTTAGTAGTGGGTTTTTCCCCTGGGGGGTTGCACCATAAAAAAGTCCATGAGGTCTTTAAAAACTGATTCATCCCAAATTTTCATGGCAATCTTTTTATTATTGTATATTTAATGTCACTACAATGTGATCATCTTATGTTTTATGTATGAGTAGAAATTTTACCCTAGGTGCTGCTGGAGGAAAAGACAGGAAGTCACCTAACACCTTATTATTATTCTGTGGTGACCATGAAAATCAAACACAAACATCTCTTCATCACGTGTTCATCAAAGGGACATTTTGGCCTAATGGTGGAGCCAAACAGGTCGTATGAGTCATCAAAACCTTATGAAATAATTCAGCGGACTCTATCCATCTAATGGGGTATCTATTAAGGTTTATGGTAATCTGTAATCCGTAATTATATTTTTTTTTTGTGTTTGACAGACCAGGATAAACTAAAGGAAGAGTACAGCTCAAAATCTTATGACACAGTATAATAGATATATATTCAATATCCAGATTAAACATGTAATGCATGAACTTGGTGCCTCACAATCAACTCGTTATTACCAGACCTCCTAATTCAGACCTTCAACATCTACTATTCGCCTAAAGACAAAATGTAAACTGATGCTTGTATGAAAACACAACTGATGTCTGTTTTCATTTATGGTTGTGTGTTATTTATCACACACTGAAGGTCATAGTTTATGGCCCTTTTTATTGAGCACCACATCACTGCCCATATGTGAGTTTAGTCTTGAAGGTTCCCACCGTACCTGATGTAGTCCTCTGACTTGTCGTATTTCCTGGAGAGATAGCGAGCAGAGCCCTTGCTGGGGATTTTGACCATGGAGAGCTCTTTACCGTAGCGGGTGAGATTACAGGGTGTCTCGCATGGACAGGTATCCCCACTGTTCTTCTGTAGCTGTGCTGCAACATAATGGAAACAGTGGTTTAACAGCTACAGACTGGTCCAGGCAAACACTCCAGCAGGGAAACATACAAGATACTGTACAGAATCTAGAATCTAGAGGCAAAAACAAGCTGCAACAAAGGAAAATGTGTGAAGGGAGGAAAGCAGGGGATGTTTTTTTCCCTTGAGTGCAGCAGAACAAGCTGTAAACACAAGATTTACAAATTAACACCTCATAAAGTTGAATGGCTACATTAGTAGTATTACCATCAATTAGGAGCTGTGTTGGCAAAAGTAAGTTCAATATTCACTTTTCTTTAAGCTCTGTTTTGGTCCCCAACACCTCTTGTGACAAATGTCTAAATGCTCCATTATGTTCACCAGCTAATCATTAACTAACAACAACAGCTGCTTGCTTGGCGGCAACAAGGCTGACAAAATCGTTGCGAATGAACCAAAACAGTACAACCAAAACAATTCGCTAACAATTAGCTAAAAGACGCTAAAATGCTCCATAGTGTTGAGGGAAATGGCAGAGGTGATGATATCTGTGGGTTTGTCACTGTGAGTGACCCCTTTCACATTTTCACATAATAATTTGATCTATTGTTAAAATAAAAATATTGATTGGTGTAGCTTTAAAGACGTCTACTGTCATATTTTCTTGTATGACCACAGAAATAATGAACCTATGTTTCTGATTGGTTTGCAGGCATCCATTAAAACTGTAAAACATATCAGGACACTTAAATTACAGTTCAAGTCCACTTGTAAATCTATGCACATTGTACATTAGACAACAGGTAACCATAGCAACAGCACTTACAACAACACAAATACATTGCAGTATAAACCAGCTGATGTACGGTAGACGATTAGGCCTTTTCTCCGAGCGGCCTCTTCAGTGCAGTAATAAGGCTTTTTGAAGGCTAAAATGTGTATTTTTAGTGAGAAGGAGCAGTCGGCTCTCAGCATCATTAAATTATATTACTTCCGTGCCCAGAAAATTAGTAGTAGTTAGCGTTTCTCCCTGATGTATGGGTAATTTTGAGGATGAACAAATTCATTGCAGCCTTTGAATGAAGAATTAACAGTTTGATAAATAAATCAAATCAAATAAAATGTGCAACAAAATGTCAGGTCACACCATTTTTTATAGACTTTTTTTTTTTAGCAGTGGTCTCTACCATATTAGAAACAGATCACATGATATTACAAGAGTGATATCGTTCTGGATGTATACACAAAATGATGTGTTAGGCTAACCGTGTTATTTAATAGACAACAACTGTGGCAGCAGTAATTCAGTTACACTATTTGTTCTGAGAATAAATGATGGAGTACAGTCAGTGACACTAAAGGCTCTGCCAAACATACAGGTAGACTTACACCCAATTAACTTGCAGGGATGAATTGTTCACATATTAAAAAATAAATTTTCAAAAGCTCACCTTTTAAATAACACTATGTATGAGATACGCAGCTTACAGTGGGTGACATAGTAAAAAGAGCGACAAAGTCAGCATAGGGAGGAGGTTGGAGCGGACGGATGGGTCAAACAAATGCTGGGTCTCAATAGAGTGCTGCAGGAATCAGTCCTAAAACCCAGACATGAGTTAGCATTTTAGCTCCTGGTGTCTCTTGTCTTGAGTCAGTGGGTTTTTGGCTGTCTGAAATAAGGTTAAGAGACTTTGATGTTTTGTTCTACAACACAAAACACATCAGTAAATACCCCACCCCCACAGTACCCCAAACGATAATTTTCAAGCCTTTACATAGTTCATTTATGGCCTAACATTATTTTTTTACTTCAAGATTTTTCATTATATATATCATTAATAACAGTATACTTTATTAGGTTCACCTGTTGAACTGCTCGTTTACACAAATAGCTAATCAGCCAGTCACAAGGCAGCAACTCAATGCATTTATGTAGACATGGTCAAGACAACCTGCTGAAGTTCAAACTGAGCATCAGAATGGGGAAGGAAGGGGTGTCGGTGGCTTAGTGGTAGAGCAGGCGCCCCATGTACAAGGCTGTTGCCGCAGCAGCCCGGGTTCGACTCCAGCCTGTGGCCCTTTGCTGCATGTCACTCCCTCTGTCTCTCCCCCCTTCACGCTCATCTGCCATGTGGCTGGTCTGAGCATTTCAGAAACTGCTGATCTACTGGGATTTTCACACACAACCATCTCTAGGGTTTACAGAGAATGGTCCGACAAAGAGAAAATATCCAGTGAGCAGCAGTTCTCTGGGTGAAAATGTCTTGTTGATGCCAGAGGTCAGAGGAGAATGGCCAGACTGGTTCAAGATGATAGAAAGGCAAAAGTAACTCAAATAACCACTGGTTACAATCAAGGTCTGCAGAAGACCATCTCTGAACCAACAACAGATGGGCTACAGCAGCAGAAGACCACACTGGGTGCCACTTTTGTCAGCTAACAACAGGAAACTGAGACTATAGTTTGCACGGGCTCACCAAAATTGGACAATAGAAGATTGGAGGTCTGATGAGTCTCGATTTCTGCTGCGACATTCACATGGTAGGGTCAGAATTTGGCATAAACAACATGAATGTATTTTCTTAAGACCTGTGCATTTTTTTTTTTAGATTTTATTGGTGAGAGAACTCCTGAGGCTTCTGTAGAAAAACCAGGTCCCATCTCAGGTGACTGCTGAAGACATGATCAACTTCCTTCTGGAGGAAATCAAAAATACTCTGACAGAACAGTGAGTTACTGAGACACATACAGACGCTCTACCAATACATCTCCAACTCTCCTCATGCAGCACTAATATTACTCTGACAGTGTTAAGAGTAAAAGGAAAAATAAAACTTCTCATTTCTGTCTGAAGCCTCTGGGAGTTTGAACTGGAGGATTTTGATGAGGAGGATGTCAAACCTTCACAGATGCTTGTAAGACAGGAGTCCTGGGAATACTTACACTAGATTATTACATTCTGCTAATTTTAACCTCTAAAGCTGCATGTCAATGTCAAAACTGCACTTTATGCCTAATTCCTTGTTTCAGGTGTGGGCAGTAAATGTCAGCAACAAAATGAGGGATGTTGAGTTTAAAGCCCAGATGCTCCTCAAATCCCCAGAGGCCTTACCTCCGAACTTTTAGTAGGCTATATTTGACACATATTTATTACTGGTTACACTGCAGTCATTTTAATATCTCTTTGATATTTCAAAGTGCTTTAAAAATTTATTTTAATTACTGTAACCTACAGACATCCTAAAGTCCTCAGCATGGCCAAACACTACATCAGGATCCTGTGACAGAAGCAGATAGAGGCTCCCAGCCCCACACTTCTCAGTCCAAAAGAGGTGGTGTTTCGAGGTTGTTCCCAGAGTCCTGCAGGGCTTCTGGGTGCTTCCTCCTTGCCCCCTCTTAAACATATCCTCCCAGAGATTTAGTAAAATGGGGTTACAAAGGCTGTTTTGGACCAAGTCTCCAACACTCTTGCCACTGTGGAACATCAGGCCACCTTCTCCCGCTCAGTCAGGGACGACATGGTCCAGTCTGGCATGACAAAGATCCGACAGATGCATCCACATGAGGTCTTGGTGAACAGGATCAAGAGTTTTACGCCAGTGCTGCTGAGTGAGATTGTTGAAGTTGCAGTGGTAAGTTAGTGGGGTGTTTCAGCCCGAGATCCCTAAAGTGTTTATCTGACAAGCACTATTGAACCTGCTGCTAACACTCCACTCCAGGGTCATTTAGACCTGGCTGTAAGTGATGAGCCGCCAACTGCCAATCAAGAGATAAATTCTACTGTAGTGTCAACTCCACCAGCCTCTCGACACCCCCTGCTGACCCTCCATCTATTACTTATGTTGAGGCCAGGGAGGATGTAGACGACAAACCCTGCCTGGAGAATGACCATGAATCTACCAAAGTGGTTCCTGCTTCTCTGAAATCCCCTGCTGAACCTCCATCTTTTACTGATGTTGAGGCAGGGGAGGACATAATCAACAGAGTCTGCCTTGAGAATGACCCAGAAGCCACCACAGTGGTTCTAGGCTCTCCAACCCTTCATTTGTTGATGACACTGATTCCAGGGGGGGAGAAAATGATGAACCCTGCATGGAGAAGGATCCAAATCCCACCAGGGAACCAGCCTCTGTAGTGCCTCCTGCTCCCCCGGCTCCACTGACCCGTCTTGATGAACCTGTCATAGTTTTTGCAGTGCAGGATGGCTTGACCACCAGCTTGGCTGCAACAAAGCAGCTTATCCAGTCAAGTGACAAGTTCTCCACCAGCTCCTCCGACATCTCCTACTGAACTTCACGTTACTGATGTTCAGGACATGGAGGACACCAAGCCTGGAGGAGGGCCCCAAAAACTACCAGAGAAGTGGCCTCTGTTTTCCCAGCTTCATCACCTCCTCTTAAACCTGTGGTCATCGTTACAGTGCACCCAGAGGTCAAAGAGAAGAGAGCGCAGGGCTTCTTCAGCAGGCTCTTTCATTCAGTGTGCTGCTGTTTTGTAGCCAGTGATTCAGAATAATATTAAAATATTAAATGCATTTGAAACAAACATAATAAATAATTCATATTTTAAAGTGAGTGGATTATGGTAATTTGCAAAATTGTTTAAATGCTTTAGTCTTTAAAGTATGAATGCAGATATTATTTGGAATATTTGTTCAATTTACAGTTTAATGCAAAAGAAACATTTTATATTATAATCTCAGGTTTTTATTATTGTTCCTCTTCTTGAACACCATCTTCTTACTGCAAATCCACAAGTAAGGATACAGGATATCATTTCGACTGCAAAACTATGATTCAATCATCTCCCATAATACTACCCGTAATAAGTTAGCAATATTATATTACCCCAAAACAGACTGTGTCTTAAAGAGAAGTGTGTCAAGAGGACTTATTCAGAGCCTGTACTTTGGAAAATGCAGTAATGTCACAAAGCAAAAATACTCAATATTCAAACTTTCCTTAAAGTGTTATCACCAAAATGCAATCATCCAAACTATAATGGAAAAATCCCACTGGGCTTTTCTGTCGAGGTAACCAGGGTGATGTTTCTGGGTTAGCCTACAAAATAAACGCCATCCTATTTGTGTTCTTCCGTACTTTACTTGGTACTTTGAGGGCATAAGTGTTTTAACACTGACATGTATGGCAAATTAAGTGCACTATTAATACCCGGATGGTGTACTCATAATGGTCAAAAAATTGAGTGTGAAACGCTGCATACATTTTTTATTAGGCTCATTTGAGATGAGCCAGACCTGATTGGCACACATTGCACGTCAGTTTGATTTGTGTCCGACTTCATCCTGATGTTGCAGTTGCTGTCCGCTGACTGCAAGACCCAAGGCATGATGGGAAATGCCTGGCTCTCATCTGACCAAACAGCTGATTGGTTTAAATGTTGACTCAATAAGATGCGTTTAATATAAATCAAAATTTTTGTTGAATGGGAGAGAGTTTGATTTTATTTGTCTGACTTGAAGGTTTATTCTGTTAACAGAATACATGTTGTGTGACTGATGGTGACGTTTAGTAGTCAGAGACTGAATACATTCATCATAAACTATAGGCTGTGGCATAGTAATAACATTGGACTGTTTTAATCATTGAAGTATTTAGCAACACAAAGACTTGTGGTCAGTGGGAAGAGACTCTGAATACAACATCTGTGCAGATGTGAAACTCTGACTCTATCTGACTGATCCTTGATGAAAGCTATTGTCTTGAGTTGTTTTCCTCTGAAAACATTAACCTAATAGACACAATTTATTTAGCCTCTGTAGTTGTGGGGACAGGTCTGCTCTGCAGCAGCGAACTGATCTGATGCTGATTTACATAAGAATTCATGTAAAATGGAGGTTGAACCATGAACATAAATTCCAGGTCACCTATAAAGCATTTTAATAGGCTACTCTGTCATAATTAAAACAAATGGAGACTGAGAACAAACTGATACATGAGTCTGATAACATTTGTAATAAATCAGCATTAGATCTGACAGGATGTGAGTGTTTCTGTGACTTCCTGTATAGACTGAAGGCTGATGGAAACTGTCGGGAAACTGTCCAACAACACCACAGCTTTTTATCACTGCCTCCTGCTGCAGCTGCCTGATCTCGTCCACTTTAAGGCACAGTTCATCTCGAGAACAAGCCTATTCTCAACAGTCGCCATCTTGGCCGTGTTGCAGAAGGAAGGGACCACCAAACTTGTGAAAATGGCGGCTGAGGAAACTGCAGTGGTTGTGGTTGCTCCGGTGAGCATGCAAACAAGCTGGGAGGTATTTTGGCAGGCAATGATCACAGTCAAATGTTGGCGGTAATGCTCCATCTGGTTGCAATTTGTCTTTAAAGAGACGAACAAGAAGTTGCCAAATGCTGTAATTGTCATCTCTGGTGAGTGCACAACTGTGGCGTTCGATTTGAAACAACACTACCCTGTAGAAATGCATGAGAGTAGTGTACACAGTGCAGTACATGGAAGTGTACTCATGGAAGCATTCGAATTGGGACACAGCAAAACACAAGCTGCTGTTTGTGTCCTTTATTAAACCAACAGTAAACACTGAGTTGTTTGAACATACATTCGTTACATACTTACGTCATGTTGTCACGTTATGTTATGCAAGCTCAGTTACGTACTAACATAAATATTTGAACCCAAACCATGATTGTTTTCCTAAACCCAACCACACTAATTTGTGTGGTCGTATGGGTTGGGCGAGAGTAAATAGCTCTTCTCAATCTCTCATCAAATTCTTAATGCATTCAGTTCAGACAAAAACAGTGAGGAACACTGAAAGCAGTAATTATAAATTGATGATTTATTTATTTCATAAATCTAACAGTAAGGTTATGTGTATGCAGGAGCACGATGGCATATATTCTTTGTCTGATATGGGAACAAAACAACCTTAGAATATAAATATATAAATGATATTCTAATTTATTACCTTTCATGGAGGCTGAATGTATTCACACTATTTGATTCAGGAATATGACCCAGATGAATATGGCCCACTCTCGTGAGATATATCTAAGATTTCATTCAACCATATTTTAAAAAGGGCTTGAATTCAGCAAAGAGAGAGATAATTAAATTTCTGGCTTATTTGGCTGAGAAATGATAATTGTACTTATATGTCTGCCATGACCATGAACAATTTCTTTTTTTCTACAGCCGTGATGCCTTTGAGACCAAGCCACCTTTGTTCAGTCTCGATGTCTGCTGGAGGAGAGTGAGGTTGGAGTTGCAGCGAAGGGTGGGGAGGTGCAGATATGCAGGAATGGAGAGTTGGTTTAATATTAACAGTTCAACAATGGAGGCAGCACAGCCATCAAGCTCTAAAGTGACTAAATCACAATGAGGAAAAGTAATTTCAAAATATCAAGTCTACCTCCAGGTATTTGTATTACAGAGAAAAAAAAAATCCTTATCATATTTACAGAGTGTGTTTCCATTTCCCTTTGGGGGAATCTATTGTAATGAGAAAAGAAATGAAGGAAGATTGTCTCTTACCGAGTGCTTTGTCAACACAGTTGATTTTACTGGGAGGGCAGATATCTGCAGTTCCTGGAGAGGAGAACAGAAAATGAGTCTGATCAATCAGAAACAAAATGATCAGTGACCCGTGTCTGCTGCAATGAGCAACTGTGGCTGTGAACAACACTCCACAGCTTATTAGTCATTTTCAAATGAGGGCAGGCACACAAAGGACGACTTCCATCCATAGAGCATGGGCCGTCTTGGACGTCTGTCCTTGATTGCACTGAGAAATGGAACATGCTGGCTTCACCCATAACGCATATTTAGAAAGTCTTTAAAAACCAATCAATGAGTCACTTCCTCGCAGACGAACAAATCGCCTGGGCCATTAATGACAGGTATTCATCAGCAGCACAATTAATTGGCAGGAGTGTGTGTGTGTGTGTGTGTGTGTGTGTGTGTGTGTGTGTATGTGAAATGTTCATGGGGTTAATGTTTTGTGGAAGTCTCCTTCCCAGTCACTCAGAAATGTTAATTAATACACAGTGAAATAATGTCTGATGATATGAAGAGAGTCCATTCACACATTCAGTTGCTTCTGAACCAAGTTATTCTGTCATAGACATAACCTGCAATGATCTGACACAATATAAACTATCATTAAACATCACTGATTGAAGAAAAAAAATAACTTTAAATCATCCTATGTATTTTATTTTTAGGAATTTTGAGCGTGGAGACAAAAGCTGTGCCGTGTCTCTGTATGCTGTCCACACTCTACGAACAAGAACAACTTAAAAGCCTTTTTCTGGTGGTCATCCAAATATAGAAATAGGACGACATACTAAAATATTAATCTTGAACCAAAGAATCCAGGAAAACACAGTTTTGCTTCTATGCCTCTCAGTTCAGGAGTCATGAGCAAAAAATACAAAATGCTTTACAAAACAGCCACCTCAGAAACTGATCACCGGTTTGGCCAAATTTTAGAAATCCATGCAGTTGTTTTTGTAGTATCCTGCCAACAAACACAGATGCATAAATATGCCACAAAATACGTAATGAAGGCAACAAATAGAACAATATGAAAGCAACATAAACAACAATGTAACTCAGTGTCTCAAAAGGACAAGAAACATAAATACACAAACCACAGAAAGACAATTCAACGAGTACAAAAGACTGAAAAACTAGAAGCAGCAGACTGGAAACAAATGGATTATGTAAACGCACGCTGATGACAATTTTCTGTCACGTTAAACAGACTGTAAACAGTTGCTGGATTATGTAAGCGAGTATGAGAAAGAAATGGATTACAAACATCAGTGCCATTCTCTTAAAAGCAAACTATTAAAGTGAATAAAAATTTGAGCAACACAAATCTGGAGCAGCCAACTGTAAATTGCAGCTGTGGCTTCAGAGGACTGCAGGAGGAAGAAAAAAAAAGTGGATACTGTAAATTGTGTAAGGCGCAGCACTCCTGCGTTTCATTGATACAGCACCGTGTTGTCACATCGAGGCTATAAAAAGATTTTCAATTCACGGCTGGCCTCATGCTCCCTTGGCGAGCTTTTGAACCAATCGCTCCTTGGAAGCTTATGAAGGAATTTCAGCAAACTTAATATGCAACAATAAATTTGACTCTCTATTGATAAGTGCAGTGAACCAATGTGAGGCTCCCGCTACCTGATAGAGGCCCTCTTCTAATGCCGGACTGGGCAAATGGCCTGGAAAAGCTTCCACATTTATTACATCTGATATAATAAATATCATATCTGATGTAATACATCATCATGGAAGCAAAGTGGTTCTGCTGCTCTCTGAAGACCTCTGCTCTGTGAACAGCCCTCACTATCTATTAATTTAAAAATTTCCCACTCAATAGCTCTTTTTCTTAGTTGAGACTGATTAGTGAGACGGAGGGCTTTTATAGGTTTGAACCTGAAGCCTTGGGTGGGCATACGATGGGTCTGAGACTTGGCAAAATAGGGGTAACTAAAGTCAAAGCAGTGAGATGTTCCCATGTAGATAGCGTGATATTGAAGTCAAAAGCCACCTCAGCCAGTTTCCCCCTAAATGTGAGCTCAAGGCTTATTGCAACACAATCACGATCCTGCAGCGAGGCAGGTACTGTCACCCCGCAGCACACACAAACTGATTAGAAACGTGTCCGCTTCGCAGCCTGTCGAGATCAAATGATTAGCTGCGATTTCTCTCCACAGATCAGACCACCGCCACTTTGGTGCGGCCATTACAGCCTGCGAATGGAAGTTTGAGTTGTGTGACTGACATGTAAATTTGAACCTGAGAACGGCAGCGTTTATATTCATCAGCCTGGCATCAGTTCAGTTACAGCAGTGTGGGGTTAAATCAGTATCAAAACTTGTTCCTGTCCTCAAATGTCTCATACTGTGTTGTTTATTCACATCAATAAATTTCCTCATATTGTCAAGAGTGCTAAACAAGGCCGCGAATGTCAGCTGCACTGTGTGGATGTGGGAGCCAAAGTGATTCCTGCATATATTGTGACTTTCTAAATGCGACAACTTCAAACATGCCCACTTATCAGACACATCAGCCAACAAACAGTTCGCATCCAGTGACTCAGCTCTTTGACTTCATGCACCCTGGCTATGATGACGCACACACTGACGATGTCTCAGCGTCTTAGTTTGTGTTTGCTGGACTCACGTGTCAGAGAAGAGAAAGTGTTTAAGTGGTGGAGCAACAGTGATGGGTATCTAGCTGACACACCTTTGTGACGTGTCTTTTATGTGCTGTCTGATTATCAATCTGCTCTGCTTATGTCATCACCTTTTCCACTTTCGATATATCTTGATATATTTGTTTGTCACCACTTTATTAAGTTATGTACTGTGTAGCATTTCAGGTTCATTCTTGTGTTTTAGGTTTCTACTCTACTCTACTTTCTGTGCTGGAACAACTATATTCACCCTCAGTATGAGACACTCCATTTTAGCACCTGTCTCTTTAAGCCCCTCCCCCCAAAATAAGCCCTGTTTTGAGTCTGGTGCAGGGGACAGCCCATAGGTCCTGTTCTGAACACCTAAGGGACCTACTGACAATATATGGATGGAGGAGATCACTGATGTATTCAGATGCCTGACCGTGAATCCTGAACATGATGGGAAGCCAGTGTAAGGAAACTAAAATGGGAGTGATTTGGGTCGACCTGTTTGACCTGGTTAACAGCCGAGCAGCAGCTTCCTGGATTATGTGAAGATGATTCATAGATTTGTTTAGACAGGTAAAAAGAGAGTTACAGTAGTCCAGTCTGGAAGACTCAGGTTGAGACACAACAGACCTGAGCTTTGCAGTATTATATTCACTTGCAATATAATAAGTACGGGTCAGTGATTTAAAACGATGATCATGAATGACTGTAATGGATTACGACAGCACTTTCTACCTAACACCTAAATATTCACAACTGAACATGTTCCAGCAGGAATATGATCCGAAATTGAGGCAAACTCAACAGCTTTCTCCGATGTTAGCATGTAGCTACATGTAGCAGTGTGGGCTATGTAATGTTAGCACTTGCAGTAGCGTGCCTGGAGCACATGACCATATAAGGAATATCAACACAAGCTGACATCAGCTTGAAGCCAAAAAAACAACAACATGGCAACAGATTATTCAGTACAGTCAGAAGTCTAAGGTTTTTGCTCACAGGGATTACTTCTATATGTTTCATAGTTCATATGTTTACCTTACTATTTAAATCTTTGTCCATTTTTAACATGAACATCTCACATTGTAACTCAAGTCATTTTGAGTTAAGTCATTTTGTGTTTCAGTCTTAATACAAATGAGACTGAAGTATACCTGCCCATCCATGCAATCTGATATCTTGTGTACTAAACCTTAATAGATTCTGAGTTATTTTTATTTTTATTTTTTTTTACAGATATCAAACACTATAATAATTGATTTCAGTATGAAAGGCCCAACTGATTTTTTTCTATCTTAAATTTGGGGGAAAAAATGATTAAAAAAATAAGAAGACACTGTGTGAATTAGAAAACCATCCTGATTTGCTCTGTGCCACATCTTTGTAATCAGAAGAGATTTTAAAGTGATTGTGTGCTGGAGGCAATCTCTCAGTGTGTAAGTCAATGCTAAATTAATCCTATATAAAGGCAGGAATCCTAAGAGCTACTTGTTTCCACCAACCAGTGGAAACTAAACACAAGAGCAACCGGGACTGATAAAAATAATCAATCAAAATAATTAATGAGGGCCGCAGGAGCACAACAGAACAGTTGCCAAACAGCTGAGATGTATGAACAAATGGATCCAAAAGTCATCGAGACTTTCATGTAGTCTGAAGAGTCACTGTCCAAAAAGCTGCCAGCGCTGCTGAAGAGCATTCCACTCCAGATATCAAGCATCGAGGTCAGGCATGTGGCAGCACAAATTATGTCTGTGCTGGGAAATATTCAAGTGGGCCAAAAAATGATGACTTGTTTTGCACAATTGGTCATCAAATATGATGCAAATACTGGGCTGGCTGTGTTCAATCACACTAGACAAAACAATTTTAAAAATACCTGACAATACTAACTCTGTTGAAGTATTTTATACTTTGGATTTTCTCACTGTGGGCTGTGTACATATATAGCATATATATATATATAGATATGCTATGTCATGACCTTGAAGTCACCACAAAACATTAAAATGATTCATGTTGGTGTGCTTCTGAGTTCCAACCACACATAGATTTTGTTCTTAGTTTATATTTAATTCTTTTTCCTTCTCTGTTTCTAAGGTAACAATAACATTACGGTGGAGAGCATGAATAACTAATACGTGTGCATTTGTAATTCATGCACACAAACGATTTTTTCCCCATGGCACCTGCTGGGCTCTGTGTAACTGTGAATTAGGGGGTGATCTTACCGGGCATGTGCACCATCCTGCAGCCGCACACTCTCAGGACTTCGTTGGTCTCGCAGAGCAGACGGCAGGCACTGATGCTGTATGTGTCGTATCCTGGGAACTTCTCTTTGCTGGTGGAACGGCAGTTCCCCCAGGGCTGGGGCAGGTAGGTCAGCTAAGCACACAGAGATTTATTAGACCCCAGTCTGAACCACCAGGGGCGAATGGTTGCAGGGAGAGGAGTAATCTGGTGGTGGTGGGGGGTGGGAGGGAAGCAGGGATGGTGAGCTGTGATGAAGAAGACCTACCCTCTGCTCCTGACATGAAACAAAGGTCTGGAAGCCCGGAGAGACGCCGAAGCCCAGCTGGTGGATGTAGGGAGGCTCGTCCTGACTGTGGATCTGAACTCGGATGCCGGCCTCCAGGGACGTCTCATCTTCAGGATGAAACAGAGCAGGAGTGCGGAGCATTGCAAAGGGAGAGTACAAGGGAATTTCAGATGGCTGCCTCATCTGACAGCTTGGACTCAGTTTGACGCTAATGGCAAACCATATTTCAGTCATGTTTGAAAAAAGCCCCAGTAGGGATTAATAGTATGTGACACCTACCATGCAAACACTAATCTGAGGTGGTGTATTGTGTTCAGGAATTTCCCCTTACAAATCACATTTTCCAGGTTGCAGGAATACAACCAAGAAATGCATTATTTACAGTACGTGACCCAGAGAAATGGATGCAGGTTATTTTAAAGCCCAGCAGTGGTATCTCACGCTGTAGCATATGATGAGATTACACTGGACAAATAGTTTTGAGGCTTACTTGTCTCTCTCCAGATGGGCAGATACTCATCCTGCTGGATATCCAACATGATCTCCAGCCCGTTTCCCATTCCACCCTGCTTGCTTTTCCTGGATGTCGTCTTGTTGCCATTAAAAGTGTAGCATTTCCCATATCTGGTGTACACCTGGAAGAGAATAGATTCCTATCATGAACATCACCATAAACATAAACATGACAAAGTCCACACGCCGGCTGAGACAAGATCATACTTGTGGTGCATTACAATGAAGGCAGAGATATGGAAAAAATAAATAAATAAATAAACTGAGCGTCTGCTCGGGCAAGTTACTGAATATTACCCACAAACCTCTGGATGCAGTCTGCTGTCTCAGTCCCTTGTGGACTTGATAAGCTGTATCTGAATGAATTCCCATCACCCACCACACAAAGCCTGCACAAAGCTGCTCAATAGTACTACCGTCCCACTGAAATATCAAATGGCATAAGAGATTCTTTAATCTTCCTTCAAAAGAAAACAAAAGACAATAAGAGAGAGATGGCTTAAAATGAGCCGTCACGTCACCACCTATCAGAGGAGCTGTCTCTGTGGGGGACACATCATCTCTTTGTTTATGCTCCTCATATAAACTGCTGCACTGCAGAAAATGTCCATTTTACAAGTCATTCATCGGGGATCTCCTGTGAGTTTTAAAGGGACAATCCGTGATGTACATGGAAACAAAAAGATAATGTAACATTTAAAATCCAAAACGCAGGATGGGAACCTGCCATCACTCCCAACTTTACTGACACATATTTCAATAAACAGACTTAAAGCACTTAATGTGCGCTCACATGTTTTCCTCTGATGCAGACGTTTCACGAATTATCCACAGAGGTCTTTACCTCCCCAAACAAACTGACCCGGTGATTTAAGCTGGTAAAAACGCTGAATAAAGCAGTTTCACATGAAAAAATTTGTGTTTTTCTATTGTGGAGGGGCTGATAAGTATGGTGGCCGACATTAAACACGAATGGCCCTTTCTGGAGCCAGTGTTTAGTTTGTCTATTCTGGGCTTCTGTAGAAATATGGCAATGAAACATGGCAATCTCCATGAACAAGGACCCACTCCTTACATATATAAACGGCTCAGTCTAAGGTAACAAAAACATGCCAATTCCAATATTCAGGTGATATATACAAAAGAAAATACACTTGTGATAGTATGTTCCATTTTTGCCAATAAATCCCCCTGAATCCAACATACTGAGTCTTTAAACTCGGCAACTACAGTAAATCTTAGTTAATAATACTTTTTAAAATCCCAATAGGACCGTTTGCTAAACCCCTCCCCCAAGGAGTGATGATCCAATCATAACTTGGCAACCAAACCGGGCAAAACAAGTGTGGCTGAAAGAGAAAAAAAAGTCACAAAATGTGCCTAAATTTTGGCTGACTCACAGATTCTCCTCCAAATTCCAAACATTTATAACACATTGTCATACATCTTTCCACTGAGCAATAAAAAGTCATCTTTACAAGATGTTTGCAATATAGACTCCACCCTATAATCCCATCTGAAAACACACCTTTTCAAGATCAGGTATTCAGTTTAATTCTGACTATAAGGCTGGAGATATACTTGCTATTTAACCACAAATTTGCATAGACCACTATCTGCGTTGTGAACGTCCTCATACTTGCCTATGTACTATGCCTGTTACTAGATGATCGACCAATGCTCAAGACAGACGCAGGATATGCCTAGGATATGCCTAGTTATTTTATTAACTATCATATTGCATATGACTGCTTTGTTTGACTTTATGATGTCTGTATACATTGCTGTTGGTTTTTAAATGTGTTGCATTAGGTCCTTTGAATGGCGCCTATCAATAAAATGCATTATTGTCACTATCATTATTATTATTATTATAATATTCATTTTGTCCAAATATCAAACTAAAGAGGGCAGTGATGACAGTATTAAAGTCATAGAAATCCCATAGCAACAGAGGTCAGCTGAGAAGTCGCTGGAGAAATGACAGCGAAATAACAATCGAGCTGAAAAGACGGCAGACGTATCATTAAAGAGACACTGCGATGGTCCCGGCATTCTCCACAACATCGACATCTGTGTTCTGACTTTGATATCAGCTTGATGCACCTAATGAGTGCTGTGATGTCTAAATAAGGGATGCTGGAGGAACAACAGACACTCTCATTTACAGACCACAGGGTGTATTCACATCTGAGATGGTTGAACAACAAATCAAAGCCACGGTTGTGGGGTTCAGTCCAGTAATTCCCTGGAAGAGTGGCAATTTAGCAATATCCACAACAGTGATTAGAGCAAGAAATGAGTACCATTTACAAAAGCTTGGTGTTTAGAAGGACGACTGTATTTTACGCAATAATAGGCCTTGAGGCTTTTGATCTGGGGGTGTGTGTATGCATGTTTGTATTGAGTGTGCTTTTGAATGCGTTACAAATGGTAACCTTCAAAGTGAGTCTTAGTTGAGGATTCAGAGAAATGGCTGACACAATTACAGATCTCAGTTCGGGCTCTGATGTGGTACAAAGGGGTCTCCATGGCAAAAATGGGTTCTGTTAGTTCCCATAGTCACTCTGCATGTCTCTGTAAATTGCAGCATCTTGTAGCCGCTGTGATTAGAAAATGGGAGGTGGCAAAGGTGGGGACGGGGGCCTGAAAGAAGAGTTCAAGTGTGACTTTTGACTGACATGTGCTATTAGGTTGAAATGGTTTAATCTCTATTTGGCTGGTGCGGAGCAGTTGAGGAGGTAAGCTGTACTTATCATTGATCCTCCCCCCCGTTCATTGACACACTTAAGCCTCGGCAGGCAGACTTTATCTGATGGAGCAGGCAACAGAAGCAAAGGAGGATTTCACTTTAGAAATGCTCAAACACCCCGACCAAGTGCCTGGGTTCCGCTCTAAAACTTTAGGCTCTGGAGGACGCCGGTGTGTTCACAAATGATGTCCCCAGAGAGTACGGTGAAGTTTTCCCATCATCTCACCCAGGAAATGGTTGTTGGCAGAGCTTCTACTGGTTTATTTCTCTGCCTCTGAACCCCCCACTCTTCTCTGCCGGCATCTGCAACGTGATTGATGGAGCATTTTTCTCTTGTTACATCTTGCACCAAATTTAGCAAAGGTAACAGGGCTGACTTCGGCAATTCCCAAGTGGGGACTTGGCACTCCTGTTGACAAGCTGAAACAAAGCAGCAGCATGGCAGTTACAAAGCAAATGAAAAGAGGTTTTGTACTCCTCTGAGTGACTCAAGTTGTTTACAAGAGCTAATTATGGCGAAACTTAATGTTGCATTGTTCACTTTGTACTCATTCTGAGGTCGAAAACAGTGTCACTCAATCTGACAGACTTTTAGATGGTAATGGAAAATAGATCTAAACATTTGTTTCAGGTCTGTATTTTTCTGTGAGTTGAGTTTGAACATAGACTCTCTCACAAACCTGAAACTCTCTAACTTATCCCGCCAAATATTTACTTGGTATTATATGTTCTGGCCCCATATTGTTCTCTTATGTATGTACATTACTTGCATATCATTATTCTGTTTGTCCATAGTGTAATTCTGCTAGTCAAGGCTGGATTACACTACTGGGCAAATCGAATGGCCTGGGGCTCCATAACCTCAGGGTTCCCCAAGGCCCCATGTTCATGTGTATAGCAGTTAGGTTGAATAATTGCTGATTTGTTTGGTAATACTGTCTGCACCACTAAAAAACAATATAAACTGAAAATGAGATGGGCCTCAGCACTATATATTAATATTAATAATGGACCACATGAGTACTTGTATATGAACGGCAGCCCAGTCGCCAGAACAAAATGTTGGCATTGTGTATGTCTCTGCAAACCACAGACTGCATATTACATTTGTATGTTTATTGCTTATCATAAACACTTCTACAGTGACACAGTTTAGATTACATGTATATGAGCTGAGTTTCACATCAGGAGGAGGGGATGACGGACGGTGTGACACTGAGGCGAGATGGCTGCTGAGTAGCAGACCTGTTCAAGACCAGCTGTGTTTTATTAACATGTCATGACATTTTCAGAGGTGCCTGTAGAGACAACAATTGGGTATTTTAAGCCATGTGTTTGCCTAACCCTACGCAGGGGTTTTTGTACCTAACCAGATGTTAACCATAGCATTGTCATTGCTAACATAAAAATGAAAAATGTAAAGTTTTTACATATTTGCTATATATGAAACATACATGTAACATATAAGTGTTTTGCAGACCCATACAGAGCAAACATTTATTCTGGTAATTGGGTTGTAATAGGACACTTAGTGGCAAGACACTGAATCAAAAGGAAAGGAATCAATGGAATTCAGCCATTGCTAATTTTATTATTTACACTATACAGGCCTATTGCTTTGGTTTTACAGGCTGCAACTGCACTGTTTTGGCTGAGTGTCAGCACTCTTACAGCCTTGTTTTTCGGCTGCAGTAGATAGCTTTCTTTAGCTAAGAAAAAAAACAAAACCTCAAAAAAATAAAAAACCCAGCGCATATGGCAATGTTAGCATCCAGCTGGTGAACATAGTGGAATATTAGGCAGTCATTTTTCTGTCAGGTGTTGGTAGAGACCAAGACCAAGCAGGCACACACAAACAAACAAACAAGCTAAATGACTGCTAATGTTGCTCCTTATCAGCTGGATGAGTAAACAGACTACAATTTATCCATTGCTACATCCCACCCCTCAAAATCAAATTGGTCAGGGGCGTTGGTGGCTTGGTGGGTAGAGCAGGCGCCCCATGTACAAGGCTGTTGCTGCAGCGGCCCGGGTTCGAGTCCAGCCTGTGGCCCTTTGCTGCATGTCATCCCCCCCTTTTAAACATTCCTGTCCTGTCCAATAAAGGCAAATGCCCCAAATATATCTTTAAAAAAAAAAAAAAAAAAAAAAATCAAATCAATCGAATTGGTCAATCATAGTGTAGCAGCAGTTAGCTCTGACAGAGTCCAACAACTACACGGCTGTGCTCCAATGACATTTCAGATTTTTTTTATTTTCAGGCTGGTTTTGTGGCTAAACGTTGCACCTGTGGCACCTGGAGATGGTGGAAGGAGATATGCATTTCTTTCCCATTCCAAAATTAAACCCTGAAAAGTGTAGGGTTAACTA